GCCACCACACCCAGTCTCATTCATTGGCTCAGTGTGCCCCAGGGGTGGGGCTGGCAGGGCCTGCCAGAAACTGAACCCTGGCTGCTGCACTTTCAAAAGAAATCTCCAGTGACTTTTTCTCATTGGGATCATCATCAGCTTGTAGGTTACCAAAACTGTGAATGAAGCAAATGTACACTGCAGAAAAGAGACGTAGACAAAAGGAGTAAATAAAATAATGGGCAGGCCACATGTAGACTAAGTATTGGATTCTGACACCACATGTGGCTGTACAACTGACATACACCACTCACTTGCCACTCTAACACCTACTACCAGAGGCAGCTTAATTTTTACTTGCTGGTCACTGATAAGAGTTGTCTTCTAAATCTGAAAATACGACTTCTTATGACTTGCATACAGTCAAATCTGTCTGCTATACTGCTCTGCATTTGCAGCTGCTCCTCAGTGCTGATATCACTGCCTCAGCTTCACCTCTTATAGTCAGGCATTAGATCCTCATGTGTGCATTACCTAGATCCCTCTCATATGCAGTTCACAGTAAGTTGTGTTCCTATGAGAGCCTAATGGCATTGCTGATGCGATGGGAGGTGGCACTCAGGTGGTAATGTGAGCTATGGGGAACGGCTATAAATACAAATGAAGTTTTACTCACACCCACCCCTTATCTCCTGCTATGTAGCCTGGATCCTAACAGCCTAGAGACTGGTATCAGTCCATGGCCCAGGGATTGGAGGCCCCTGATGAGCAGGTCCTGTCAAACAAAGATAGTAGCATGACAGTGGCCACCAGGAAGGTCACTAGCAAGCACTGGCCCACACCATCCTTTTTCAAAAAGATCCCTTAATGTCTAATGTGACAGAACACCTGTCCCAGAAGCTTCCCCAACCATCTGCCAAGCATCTCAGGCCTCAGGCCCAACATGAGTACCAACTGATAGAAACCTAGGGATGAAGCTCCTGTTCCTCCAGACTGCCAGGAAGAGTAGCTAGGTTTGAGGTTCAGGTGGGCAAAGGACCTAAGGACTTGCCCACCCACAGCAAATTCTACTGCAGAGCCAGGCTGTGTGACACCGGCCTGTGTCAGGGAGCAGGCAGTGTGCATCCTGGGCAAGGCAAGGCCCACACGGGAGCCAGGATGTACAGGGACTAACTGCACCTGAAAGGGCAAACAGGGAAGGAGGTACCATGACCCTGGGCTGCAGGTGATGGCCCTCTCGCTGCCTTCCAGGTAGACCAGAGAGTGCTCCAGGACCTCCTCTCGGAAAAGCTGCCCCGGTTGATGGCCCACCTTGGGCAGCACCATGTGAACCTGTCCCTGATCACCTTCAACTGGTTCCTCGTGGTCTTTGCAGACAGTCTCATCAGTGACATCCTCTTGCGGGTCTGGGATGCATTCCTATATGAGGGAACCAAGGTAGGGTGCTGCTGGGCCAGTCCTTTCACCACTCTAGATCCTGGTTGTGTCCTGAGGAAGCAGGAAGATAGTGCTTCCCTGGCAGGGACATTGGGCACATCTAACAGCATGTTCACATACAGTAAAATGGAAGAAGCTGTTTCTGTGCCACTGAAGATGGGCCCTAGGGCTGGGGGCCCTGAATGCTGCCTGCTGCCTTCATCACTCAGGCCCCTCTCTCCCCTCCTCTTTGGACTAAGCCCTGCACTGGAAAGCTAGAGCTTGGGGCTGGGCAGGTCCCATCACCAAAGCCTCATGGAACAACAAAGATTTAACCCACTGCGTCCTACAGGACCAACATCTTGCCTCGCCTCACCATGGGAAAAGTCCAGGGTAAAGCTTGGACTCGGTCCAAACCCCTTGATTTTAAGCTGTGGGGTCCTTGGCCTTCCTCATGCTAGTGCCTCAAGGCCTCACTGTCTGCAGCCTGTCCCCTCACCACGGCATCCTGCCAGAGCCCCCACCATGCCCATGCCCCCAGGTGGTGTTCCGCTATGCCTTGGCCATTTTCAAGTACAACGAGGAGGCAATCCTGCAACTTCAAGATGGCCTGGAGATCTATCAGTACCTGCGCTTCTTCACCAAGACCATCTGTGACAGCCGGTGAGCTCCCCCTGCCAATACCCCAGCTGTTGGGGATGGAAGAGACCCCAGTAGTAGAGACTGATCCTCTATCATAGTGTGGGAGCCGAGGAGGTCTGCTTCTCTGTGTGCCATCTACCCTCAGTGGAGCAGCTGATTTCTCCAGGCATTTCAGTTTTCTTCCACCTTCCCCTGCCCTGATATCCCTGGGCTGCAGACCTGGAAACAGGACTAAGTTCCTAGAACAAGCCTCTGCTGGGCTTTTGCTCACACAATGTCTTCTGCTTATGGTGCCTCCTTACCACCTCCTCCCACATCACCGTGTTTGCCTGATTGGCAGTAGTCCCTTCTGAAAACCCCATTCCCACATCACCTCCTCCAGGAAGCCTTCCCTGACGGCCCTAATCCTTCCAGGTTAGGTGCCTCTGTGAGCTTTCCCTTCCTTAGCACACGCTTTTCTGGGTGGACATGGACATAGTTGTTATTTCCTCCCTGAGCACAGGGCCCAGGGACAAAGCTCAGCCCAGCCCCTCAGGTGAACAGTTCTCTGGGAAGGCCAGGAAGCTCAGGCCTGGCAAACCTCATGTTCTGGCTGACTGTGCCCTCTTCCAGGAAGCTGATGCACATCGCCTTCAGTGACATGAATCCCTTCCCTATGAAACAGCTGCGGCAGCTGCGGGCGGCTCACCGGGAACAGCTGGATGCTGAGCTGCGCAAGCTGGAACTGCTCAAGGCCCAGTACCTGGAGAGGCAGGCGCCCAGGGATGACAAGAGGCCTGAGGGGGGCGCTAGTGAGGATGAAGGGGAGGGAGACGCCTGATCCAAAGCCGTGGAGCCTGGCATGGACCAGGGCTCCAGAGCCGTCTCCATCTGACCCTGGATAAGTCCCTTCTTTCCCTAGGCCTCGGTCTCTCCAGCAGGGTGTTACGGTGAAGCCGTTAATTGGGTTACCTCTCAAGGAGCACTGACTCGAGGATGCCACCCTGCCTGCACCCCACACGGAGGCCCTGAGCATTCTTAAGTTTTGTCTATAAAGCAGTGTCAGTATGAAAATTGCTCACTTAAATGGGTCTCAGTTATCAGTTGTTCCTGGATGGGGCCCAAATGCCAGGGTTTGCTACCACCAGGGCCTTCCTGTGCTGACCTCTGACTCATTTTGCCCATCTCCTGGCTCCTCTGCAGATAGGCCCCCAATTGTCATGGTCCCAGCTGTCCTCCAGGCTGCATCCAGACTGCCCCTGTGTACCAGAGCCTGTTTCCTGACCTTGGGCCACTATGCCCCTTTCTGCTCACAACCCATCTTGGGGAGTTAAACCACTGCCTACCAGCATGAATACTGTGGAGGCTAAGCAAGGAGCCCTGGGTCAGGCACCCTACTTCTGGCCTGGCACTGGCTGGAGCAAGCAGGCAGCTGCGGGGCAAGCTGCACCCCACCTCAGGGCTAAGCTCAGGGCTTTGTGACTGGCCAAGTGTCAGCTCTTCTGTGCCCTTCCAGGTCCTTGACAGAATGACAGAGGCTCCTCATCCCCACCTCAGGCAGAGCTCATGGCTGCACCTGTGGATTTGATGACTTATTTCTCAGCAAACATGGGTGAGCTAGGCTCTCTTGGGCAAGATGCATGGGGAAGGGTCTCCCATGGAGCCCTGCTCCCTGGAGGCTACCTCAGAGCCCATAACGCTGCCCTCCCTCCTCCCAGCCTTGATCTGGGACTCCTGGCAGAGGGTAGGGAAGTGCTCATCACCAGGGTCGGCATCCTTTCCTGCCACACGCAGGCATGAACTTGAAGGATGTTGCCTCCATCCTGCGTAGCTCTGGGAGGATGCTCGGAGCTCCACCTCCGTACCTGGACTGCCCTGGAACCCAGACTTCCCTGTGAAGGCCCTGTACCCACCTCCCTTGCCTTCATTTATGCTAAACGCAGGCTCTGTCACTTCCAGTTTCCACGAAATGTGGTGGTGGTAGGAGAGCAGCCTGCGGGTCCTGGCTGCACCCAACAGGTGAGGCAGTAGCCTGGGCCTCAGCATCCTTGTGGGGCACACAGGTGGGTGGAAGATGATGCTGGCCCAGCACAGGGAGACAAGCATCCAACAGTAGCTTCCTCCTAGGAAGGCCCAGTAGTCCCTCTGACTCTAGCCCAAAATCCACATCCTTCTAGCAAAAGCAAAACCCTGATGAGCCAGATGTGGTACACGCCTGTAATCCTGGCTACTTGACTGCTAAGGCAGGAAGGGCTGAGTTCAAGGCCAACCTGGGCAGCGCGGAGACTGCCTCTCAAAAACAAAACAGCAGCCAGGGAGATGGCTCAGTGGAATAAGCGCTTCCCTGGCAAGCGCAAGGGCCTGAGTTCAATCCCCCTTTTCAGGGGAAAAAAAAAAAAAAAAACAGCAGAGTAGGCACAGTACCTGCCAGATGAAGGGCAGCCTCCTCTTCCCTCCTCAGCATCCTCCTTGCCCCTCATACCTCTTTCCCTCCCTCCTGCCTTGCCTCCACCCCTCTTTCCTCTTTTCCCATTGTCCCTTCTCTTTCCTTTCTCCCCCTTTCTCTTCTCCACTCTGACTCCTCCCTGGCTGTACCTTAGGACCAAGTGGTTCTGGTGCAGTGTTGGTGCTGGACCTGTGCTAGAGGCATTCTGATACACTGGCAGGACCTTAAAGACTGACTGCTTCCTCCATCCCTGAGGGGAGAAGCTGGCACTGAGGAGGGCCCATCCTGCAGTACCCTCCTCCTGTTCACCAGCTCACGCAGAGGGGGCTGACAGGAGCCAACACAGAGAGGTTAACCTTTGGAGAGTCACACAGCCAAGATGTGGAGCCAAGCTTGTGAGCTGAGGCCCAGCGTTCCTGTACCTTCTCTGGAACCTACACACCTCCCAGGGGAGAGGGCTGCCCTGCTGCGGTCTTTTGTGGACTAGGTCTAGCAAAGGAAAGTGGGGGACAGAAGAACTTCCAATTTGTTGCCTCAGGCTGGAATTGGAGCACCTCTCCCTTTATAGAGATGAACAGGAGTGGGAGACCATATTTCAGCAAGGATGTTGCCCTACCCCAGCTGCTGCCACTCCCAGGGAGCCTGCCCACCCTCTGCTGTTCTTCCTGGAGAGTGTCTGGGGCCCACCACGGTGTCAAGTTGCTGCCCCACACCACAGCTGTCTCCCCTTCCCTAGAGGCTGCTGCCTTCCAGTCTGGAGGATCTGATCCCCTGCACAGCCACCTTCCTACCCCAGGGATGAGCCTTGTGCCCCAGGGTCCCTCCCCCAGGCCCCAGGCCCTAGCAACTGGGGTATAGACAAATTCTATAGGGGAGGGTTAGAAGGGGTGATGCCTCAATAAAAGAATGACCTGGAGGACTCTGGAAGATCCCACACCCAGAGCGGGAGGTATACACTGTCTTCCACGGATGCCTGTGCTCAAGGCTTCCATCCCCACACAGACTCCCCATCCCATGCTGTCTGTCTTTCCTAGCTCCCTTCCCATGGACATGGGGCTGCACTGTACAGAGAGCTCCTGGTAGGGCAGAGACGACTACACACACACACACACGCCTGCCTGTGCTGGTCCCAAACCAGCAGTTGACCCCTTTGTGGCAATCAGACAAAGCTGGCCATGCTGATAACCTGACAAGAAGAGGAGGTCACTGAAAAGTGCTGGCAAGTGGTCCCACTTTGGAGTCAGGCATGCTATGTGAAGTTCTCACAGGGCACTGATAGGTAAGGGACCCACTGGGGCTGAAGCTTCCCTACAGTCGGGCGTGGCCTTCCACATCTGAACCAGGACTAAGGGAGGGAGGTGACAGAAAAGCAAGCCCCATGCACATGTACACCTCTCCACAGCAACCCCAGGGGGGCCCCAGGCGGTGACAGTGCCTCAGGCCCATATGCTCACAGTCCCTAGAAGTCCTTATCAAGTCAGCTTTTTCCCAGACAGTGCTGGCCACAACACAAGTGGAAAGATACACATATAAAGAGGGGACCACTGGGCCTCTGGGACCCTGGACCTGGCTTAGATGGACAAATGATGGTGCAGCTGGTAGCTGAGACTCAGGCCAAGCCCTGTATGGTTTAAGACATTCAGATGTCTTGGCCCAAGAGACCTTCTGGCACCTCCCACCTGCCCCAAGTGCAATGCACATAAAAAGTGTGCCACCAATAGGGAAAGGAATCCCCCCACATCCCTACTGTGTCCATATGCTGTTTTGTGTCCCTACACTGTTTTGAAACTTCAGATGTCCAACTCCTGCATGCTGGTACCAGGTGTACACTGTCTGCTTTCCTTCCTGGGTGCCTCAGTGCTCAAGCTGCAGGGGAGACCCACGCTGGACACTGCCTGAAGGACAAGCAGGGGACCCCTCAGCTCTGGGCAGGGGAATGGCCAAGTGAAGTGAATTAAGTTGCTAGACTGAGTTATAGGCTTTGGCCCTGGCAGTTGAAAAACCATCAAAAAGGGCCAGCCTGATAGTTCAGAGTGCCGGCTTAGGCAGAACACAGCGGCCAGGGTTCCATCTCTGGCGTGCTGTGCAGGCCCGGCCCCGCAGGGTGCGCTGAGATGGCGATTGAGACTGGGCATGGTGGCACACGCCTGTAATCTCAGCACTTGGGAGGCTGAAAACAGGAGAATCACTACAAGTCTGATCTATATAGTGAGACCCTGTAGACTCTGTCCTAAATATAGAAAAGAAAAAGAAAAACCATCAAGAGCCCCCAAGAACTCAGCCAATCTCTCTCTCTTTTTTTTTTCTTTTTTTTTTTTTTTTTTTTTTTTTTTTGTGGTCCTGGGGATTGAACTCAGGACCCTGTGCTTGCCAGGCAAGCGTTTATTCTACTGAGCTATCTCTCCAGCCTGCAATCTCTATTTTCTTAACTATGATGAAACCGGAAAGGATAGCTAGATAAAAGGGTTTATAGGTTCAAATGTAACTAACATATGTAAAGTAGAACACAGTAACTTTATCCACTCAACCACATATTGGGTGCCTACGACGCACCAGGCACTGTTCTAGACCCTTACAGACACATCACTGTACCAAACCCAGAGTGCTACACAAACCCAGGGGTTTGAGCTTGACCCTGCCCTGCCTGGGACTGAATTACTACTAGCTGTGCCTTAACTTCCTTATATGGAAAATTGATGAGCGATAACACCAACCTTCCAACTTGTACGACAGTGAAGTAAGACACACAAGGTGCTCAGAGCTACGCCTGGCTCAGCAGGTGTTAGGTGGAGGTAATGAGAAGTCAAGGCCCCTGTACTAAATAAATAAATAGAAAAAAAGGTCAAGGCCTCCGTTCCCCCTCTACCAAGCCTAGGCTCAGAGAAGGCAGCAGCGCCCCCTCCTGGATATCGCTCGGCGGTCTTCTAGGCTTCTTTCCTCCAGGGCCCTGGGAAGCCCCAGTGTTCCCTCAAGGCCCACAAGGTGTGAGGCGCGCTTCCCCAGCCGGACCTGCGGACGCACCGCGCTCGCCGGGATCTTTGATCCAGTTCTCAAATGGTGTGAGATAGACGTAGCTACCGTCTCAATTTCACCAGGGAAACTGAGGCTCCGGGAGGTCGAGACCCTTGTTCCAGGACATGCAACGAGAGTACGGCAGGACGTGAAGCTGGGCAGCCCTCAAGGTCCGTCTCCGCTATGTCTCGGAACGGCCCCAGCCCCAATCACTGCGGTGCGCGCGCCACCACGCGCGCCCAGAGACCAGCTCCAGCCTGGAGCGCGCTGGGCGGAGGGAGTGCGGGCCCTGCGGGCGAGGAGGGGCGGGGCCTGGCGGGACATCCCCGCCCTGGGCTCGGCCCCGCCCGCGTCGGGCCCCGC